AGTCATGTCTTGGAAGGTGATGTCCAGCCACGCCCGGTGAGTGATACACTCCCGGGTCTGGGTGTAGCTGGTGATTTTCAGGTCACAAGGTTCTACCTGGACTGGTTTCCTGAGCGACCGCATGGTGTCGGACACGCGATGGAACAGTGTGGAGCACATCAGGGTGATTTCTGAGCCGGTATCCAGCAGAGCATCAACCTGTATGCATCCACCTACGTTGGTGCTACAGTACAAACGGCGAGCATGATCATGGTTTGTTAAGTCACCAAGGAACTTCAGAAATTTAGTATCAGGTTTCTCTGGGGGGTAGATTTCAGGAGATTCCTGTGATCTACCAGTACTGTTCCCCCAGCTGATTAGGTAGGTCCTGGCCACGCTGGGGGTTTGAGCCACGCCTAGTCATGCGGACGTTGGCTCCGGGTCTGGCTTCTTAGAAGAAGACTTTGGTGCAGGGGTCTCATCTGCAGATCTCAGCTGTTCCTTCTGTTTAGCTGGGAACTGCTGAAACATCTCCTGGAGGTCGGCTTTGGTCAAGTACTCACCTGCGGACTTGCGTTCGGGACCTACTTGTAGGCGACGCTCCTTAAACCTTCCACTGTTCCGACCTGCCTGCCGTTGGTTTTGGTTGGGCCACTTCCTGTCTGATTGTCCAGACCTAGGCGGCCAATAAGCACCCCCCTTCCCCTGTTGAGGAGATTGGGACTGCTTTCGCGGTTTAGCAGGTCTAGGTTTAGCAGATTTTGGCTTAGTGGGTGGAGCTTCTGTGCCTTCAAGCTCCAAACGCGGCTCGGCGTCGGGAGCTAGGTGCATGACGCGGTGATGTGCGTCAGGCTTTTGGGGCTTTCCGCCGGCTTCCCAAGCCTGTTGAGCGTATCTCCTAATCTCCTGAGTTGTCAGTTTTTTCATCCGACAATACATTGAGACTTCGGATCGAACACACTCGTGCAGGTTGTGAATGAACAGGGATCTGAAGGCAGGGTCTTCCTCGAGCCCAGGGCCGTTTCGACCTTGGAAATAAGCACTTTTGAGTCGGCGATAATACTCTCTGGGGGGTTCGTTTCTCCAGTGTTTGATGGAGAAGGCCCCCATTGTAGCTGACGCAGAGTCTGCATACGTGGCGTATTCATCTCTCAACGCTCGGCAGAGCGAGGAGTACCGATCTCGAATGTCAGATGGTAGAGTTTCCATGAAACCGTGCACCGTTCTAGATGTGGTTTTCCAAATTAGCTTGAGCTTTTCCCTTGAAGAGGGTGCTGGAAGATCAAGCATACAATGTTCTATCTCCCTGAGATAATCGTCGACGTTGGATTAATTGGTGTTAGGATCAAAGCGTTCTATGTCTTTAGCTAGCGATTCAATTTGACGTACACGGAGCCCTGACTCGCGGTACGGCGCGTCATCCTCTGACTCTGACCCACGGTCTGTCTCAGAGGGCGCTGGATATCGCTGGTGTGCTCTGGGCTCCCAATGTTGACTCCTGGGGCCCAAATCAGGGTCCGGCATGTTGTGGCGGGCTGCTGGCACGTCACGTGGGTGTCTTGGGAGGTCCTCCTCCCGGGGCACGTCTGCGTAGTGCAGCCTGCGTCTTTCAACTGGGGCTTCTGCGTAATACACTTTGTCCGGGTACGGACTGGCGTATGATTCTTTGTCCCGCAGCTGGTTATCGGCATGCCGAGTACCGGAGTAGCTAGGATGGGTAGATGGTGGAGGTGCAGCTTGGGGTGCATAACCCCAATCGGCACCTTGCACCCTTCGTGGACTGGGGGAGCGTTCTAAATAGAGGTGCCGCTCAGCTGGTCGACTTCTCACTGATTCAGAAGGCTGTGAAGATGAGGGTGGTGGTCCAACCTGGGGTTCGAGGGCGAACTGCCCTCGGCCCCTAGGTGGTCCTGAATGCCCTATAGTGTGTTTAGGGAACGGGGCCGCAGGTTGGGACAGATAAGCTTCATCTCTCCCCTGCGGCGTGCGTCCGTCCAGAGAGTCATGGTGTTTCCCCCCTTCCCACTGTCTGTTGTCATCAGCAGAGGGGGGCGGGGTCTTCTCCCCATCTTCCCCAGAATCGGTGCTGTCTTCCTCCTCGTCATCCTTCTGCCTTCCATTTTGCTGCCTTTCAGCTAGCATGCTCTGGAGCTTCATGATCTCTCGATCATGTTGGAGTTCTCTCTGATAGAGGATCAAGGCTAACTTAGCTAAGTGAACCTGGATTGGTTTTGTACCATCCGGGTTTTCTATTTGATCAATTACAGCGTCAAGCTGTTCTTCAGTGAAATCCCTAGAAGGGTAGTCGGGTTCTCGAGCAACCGCGACCAGTTTGGACAATGTTTGTCCAGAAAGTAGGCCAGGTTCATAGTCGTGGGCCGCAGCGCCACCTGGTTGCTGGGAGTTGGTCAGTTCACTACTCTGTCCCTCCATTTTAACAACCGAACCAAAAATAGCCTAGTAGAGCTTCTGCAGATAGCTCAAGCTGCACCTTTTGGGCAGCAACTGCTAGCTTTGTAGCAGAAAAACGCTAAATTAACCTTTGTGCGCACAGGTTTTAGCGTTTTAAGATTGCACGGAATGCCGTGACTGACGCTTAAAATACTAATCCTTTCAGTGTTGCAAAAGCTGGTGCGTTGCCGTAGCAACGTCTTACAACACTTGCAGTGTTAAATATGCTAGTTATTCCTTCAGAATATTAGCAAACAGGGTGTTATCAGTCTTTGAGTGAAGGTTTCAGTTAGTTACAATAGCCACTGTGAGTTAAAGTCGCTAAATTAGCAGTTAATTTTAGCCTAAAAGGGTTAGTCAGAATCACTTACATACTGCACCTTTAATGAGGAACTGAATTTTAACCTAAAAGGTTAGCCAGAATTAATTACACGTTGCACCTTTAAGGAAAAACTGAATTTTAACCTAAAAGGTTAGCCAGAATTAATTTACACGTTGCACCTTTAAAGAAGCACTGAGTTACTGGTGAGAGTTCGATGCAGCTTCCTGCTCAGCGAAATCAGCACCACTCTGTTGCTGGTTCAAGGCTGAACAACTGATTATTTTTAATTCAAGCTCTTTGGATTTATTTGTTTGTTTGTGCCGGATAGAAATCTCTGTGTATCCAAGCCTCACACGGGCTGCACCAATTAATGTTGGGGTTATTAGGAGCGAACAATTCGTAAGCTTTAACTTACTTTTGGATTCTTCAATAAATTCTGTAAATATGGGAATATTTACTGATTTATTAATTAATTAAGATATTCTTAGATATACGGGGCACCATTCCCCTTTATCCGGGGAAAAATTGAATCCAAAACTCTTATCAGTCTTTCTTGAAGTTCATAGAATCCTCGGAGCAGAGACTTCTCTTCGACACAACAAAGCTACTGGAGACGAAAATCTGAATTTTATAACGTTTAATTAACAATTTGTCAAATGAATAAACAGTGGCATAAATGAATAATAACCATGTGATATAATAAAAGGATGTATATTCAAAATAATGTTCAAGGTGTTTTGTGTGTATGTATGTGTGTGTGTTTCTAAAATGGAGTCTGTATGCAAGATGGCTGACCCCTTTGTCTGGCTAAAGTGTGAGTGGCAACTCTCACTTTAACTTCCAAGGCACTTAGAATCATAAGTAACTTAACCTCAAATTCACTCAAAACATTTCAAAGGATCATGAAACAACACAAAAGATTAATCACGGTTAATATCTTTTAGTTTATCAGCCTGGCCATGGCCGAAACATTTAAAGATATTCAAACAATGATAAATAAGCAGTTTATTCTTTCAAAATGACCTGACGGACGTGTTTGGGAACGAAAGAGGAAGACACGAAGCTACCTTTTAAGCAATAGCGTGGTTTTATTGCTTATTCTGGACTATAGAGGAAACGGGAGAAGAAAAGGAGAGAGAGAGAAATTAGTTTTCTGATCACCAGAACAGTGAAGCGTCCCTCACTGTTTTGATTTGACGGTTCTCCGTGTTTCTCCGCAGTTTGGCGTCATCCGTCGGTTTGATGCTTTCTCCGTTGTTTACCTCCACGAGTGTTTCTCCACGGGCTGGACACAAAGAGAACGAAGTTTCTTTTGTGCTGAGTTTGACAACTTACAGCGTCTCTGAGAGCTGGATGGAGCTCCGCTCGTTCCCAGTCAGGTCCTGATGGAGTTGGAGTGTAGTTTCCAGCAGTTCCGTGGGCTCAACTTGGGCATTTAGAGCTTCCGCGTGCTCAAGTTGTCGGAGCGTTCGACAAGCGTGTCCTTACCGCCAGGTATCCTGGGCAAAAGAACGAGGTTTCTTTGTCTCTGCTGAAGATTTATGGTCTTAGTTCGCGGGAAAAGCTCCACGGCCTCCCGCACATGCGCAGAACGTGTTTCTGGTATTAGGCGGTGACATCATCCCAATGCTTCCGTGTGCAAAGCATCATGGGAAATGAAGTTTCTTGGCGCTGATGTGGTTATTTGCTTTTCAGAGCAATTTAAGCACAGTCATTTTGGAGAAAATCACTGCATAGTAATTTCCTCATGAGGTCAGACCCTCAACATATATATATATATACATATATATATATATATATATATACATATATATATGTATATATATATATATATATATATATATATATACATATATATATATGTATATATATACGTATATATATATATATATATATAGTATATATATATATGTATATAATATATATTCTGAGATAATACTATTACTGTTGCATGACTAAACAATTACACATCGTTACCCCCGTCACCGATGTCATATAAAAATACACAAATGGAAACAAGATGGAAAAAATATTGGTTGCAATGTCGGCCCAGTTTTACTTATATTGATGCAGATATATTGTGCATCCCCACTATAAACCCAAAAATGGGATTACAGCGTGCCGTGTAGTGTAGTGTGTTTGTTTCCTGGTGTACCGGGATGGAGTCTAAGATCTAATAAACATGTAAAGGATTTTCTGCTGATGCTAAAACCTGTCAATGTAACCATCTATATTTTTCATTCCACAGCGAACTGAATTCTAAACTACAAGACACTCTGGAGCAAATAGAGGTATGTGCTTTGCACCGTAATCTTTAATTCTAGCAGAAATATCAGTGCGGACACTTCAGGCAGAATGTAATGTCTTGTTCTTATGTATTTTCAAAGGTTTTCATTTGAAAAAGGCAAATATTACTTCATTTTGACATTTTGATAGGACAGCTTTTGCTTCTCTGGCCCTGCCAGATATTGATATAATCAGAAAGTCAATATTATGAGCATGCAAGCGCAGGAAATTGTATTTGTTTCATCTCTAGTTGTGTGTTGATGCTTGGGAGTGATAAATGATGATGGAGAAGCAATTATACCTGCACCACTGCTGCTGTTTTCCAATAGATTAATTAAAAGCTGTTTTTCTACACACACATTCAGCCACTTGCCAAGGTTGTTTGTTTACTTATCAGCTTGAGTCAGTGATCAAACAATGCCAAATCCCCTAAATCATACAGATAAATGCATGAATAAATGCACGGTTCTAGGATCTCAAAGTCAACTCTAACTGGTTTTAGCAGACGGAGTTCACTGGTCCCTCTTGGATTTATTCCACTTTATGGACCCAACCAGTTCTGGGGGTGGGGGGGGGGGGGGTGGAGGGGTGGGGGGTTGTTTGTTAAGCTACTTAATGCCGACCTCTTAACCAGTGAAGCATAAAAGGCACTTGAACCCAAGGGAAGACTCAGTATTGTAAACTCCTAACCTTGCACAGAGCCGGTAGAAAAAATGATGCATCAAAGCTGCAGCATCCTTTTTGTTTCTTTAGTTTTTCACTAATTTGGTGTGAAGTACCAAACATCTTAATATGCAAAATGATAGGATGTTTACATTTCACACTTGTGTTGGATGGATGATCAAACAGTCACACACGAGTCTGAATCTGGGTAGAGACACATTTACCGGTAAATGTGCCAAGGCAAACTCAGAAAGCCTGGAGTCCTGCAGGTTTGCTTAAGATCTTTGTTAAAGATTAGAAGAAAGTCTTGGAATACACGTGGATGAGGTCTTATGCACAGTAAAATAAATACACAACTCTTAAAAGCTTACAATTAAGTGAATTAAATGTCTTGTTAACCAGGTCCAGTATGAGTCAGCTGTAGCGCTGGTTTTACTCCCAGCTGCAGCTTTTACTCCTAAGACCTAAACCTGCAACAGCAAATCTACAGAACAAGCTAGCTTTTAAACACAAACATGGCCATGGAACTCTCACCCCTCCCGTCAACTATCAACCCTTCGGCTACATCCACCTGATACCGGAACATGCATTGCCACAGTAAGCAAGACAGCGCTAAACATCAGCCGTTTCCTAGGTCCAAACGTCTTTTGTTGTCCGTGACTTCAAATGGAGTTTTTCCTTTTGGGACTCTGGTAGTTTGTCCTAAAGCTGAAGAGGTAGCAGCCGGCTGTTTCTGCTCCTCTGATGTTACTGAGCGGAGAACCTCTCACACCAGTGGTGTTCTGCTGCTAAATACGTGAGTGTGTGATGAGTAGACGACTCAGGCAAAGTGCTGTGGTTCAGTGAGGCCGACAACCGGATGGTCCAGTCATTGGTTTTGGAGGTTTTTAGACAAATGTGAGAAAACCACTTTATTAAGTTTTTCTTTTTTGTAAAATATCCACAATATATTTATAGCTATATTATATTAGAATGTTGTTAAAGGGATACTTGGCAACTTTTTCATATATAAAATCATTTTCCTGAGCCAAAATGTGCTAAAATGACCCTTTACAGGGTTAATGAAAGGCCATCCAGCCCCTATCCCCCCTGTTGTCAGAATATTCCACTTGCAACATTAGAGTGTTGGTCTCGTCTTAGAAAAAATTGAGCACACATACGTGGCATTGCAGTCTTCTTCCAGCACTTTTGCTGCATGTTTTGAATCATGAACACAGCTGATTTGTTTAATTTAGTGATGAATCTCTCCTGTAGACACCAAGGAAGACTGGGAGATGTGTCACCTGTTAGATTACAGCCTGGTTCATGCTTCTCCGTCAGCTCCGCAAGGGACAGACGCGCAAGTATTGACGGAAGCGTTTTGCTCTCATACTTCTCCGTCTCCTGGAGAGTGTTGCAAAGCAATTGCCCGGCAGGACAACAGAGGGCGTAGCGCTGTTCTGTGGTATCCCGTCATGTATTGGTCCAAGATCGTGTGTTTATATTGTGTTTTTGTGTATATAAGAGACTTTTAACACGGACATATTTCTCTCTCATTCTCCCACCTCTTCATGCGCTCCCCACCTCTAAACCCACGTTTCCTGTCATTTCCGTCCACAAATAAAACGCTTGCTGCGCATCTTTTCACTCCTCCAGTCACGGGAGAATTAAACGATGATATTTTTAGAGTTTTTTCGCGAGGTATTCTTCAAGCTTCTCCGTGTCTGCCGCTAGTTATCCTCGGCTCTCTTTGCAATGGCGGCGCTGTAAACAACAGCGGCGTCCTGACCAATCACAAGCTTGCGTAATCCGTCTCGTTCGACGGATGTTTAAAAAAGTGGGCTCGACTCCGTACGTACTTGCGTGCCTGACGGAGCCCTACGCTAGGATGGATAATGGCGTTGCGTGTCTCCGCACTGACGCAGACGGAGAAGCATAAATCAGGCTTAAGGCATTAACTAGACGACCACAGACGGAACGGACACTAGGGGGTGCTAAAAGCAAGCCAAAACTGCCTAGTTCTCCTTTAAAAGGCATGAAAAAGTGTTTTAAGGTAATTTGTTTTCCAGATTTGCCATTGCAGATTTACGTAAACACAGGAAGACATCAGAGCGTTCAAAAGCGCTCACTCTCCTCTCTAAGCTCAATATGTTGAAGTTTACACACGTCCCTTCACCTCATGTCTCAGACAACTCATATGTTCTTTTCTCCCTGTGTGTAGTTAGTTCTCACTCACATCCCGTTACCGGCCCTGATCACTTTACATGTGTGTGTCTCAAAGCCTGGTCTTATTGTTGACCCATCTCTTCCTTCTTCCCTCCTTTCTTTTCCTTTGTCCTCCATGTTTTCCGGCTCCAGGAGCAGCTTGATGTCGCCCTGTCGAAGACGTGCAAGCACTTTGATATTTTGCACTACACCAAGGTCCAGCTGGCCTACTCGCTCCTCGATAAAACACAGGTCAGTGCATAGACTGCATTGCATAGCTGGATGTGATGGCTCGTGTTTTGTCCCGTGGGCTGACTTTGTGTCACCCTCCCTGCCCTTTTTGGTCTGTTACATTTTCTCAAACATTTATTTTTGTCTTTTGAGTGTTCGTGTTTGTCGTTTCCGCAACAGAAAGGTTTTGTGTACCAAATCTACCCTGGGTTAATGCAGACAGGAGCTCGTTCAGGCTTGCAGCTCTTGATTCCTTTACGAGTTTCTGATATAGAGGCACATCTGTTGGCCGTGACATGGGTGACCTGCATGTCCCAGGTGGTAGTTTGTGCTCTCAGTGCTTCTGTAAAAATAGCATATATTTATCACCATTTTTCCTCTGGGTGTTTGAGAGATTCTTGATCATGTCTGCATTGCTTGATTAATTGTTTTATTTACCACAAAGTCACAGACAAACAGTTTCTGTTACTTTCAGAAAACGTCTGGTTTACTGCTGAAAGGTTGTAAAATGTTCATGTGCTGCAAATATGAACAGAATAGTATGCTTAAATAGTTAAAACGATGATTTTTATAGAGCTGACTTCATAATTGTAATGGTATTTGACACATGAATGCACTTCCTTCTAAAACAGGCTCTTGGAGTGCCCTGTCCTGTGGGCTTTAGTTATTTTTCTGCTTCAACACACTTGATTAAATAACCTCCACATCATGTCATCAGGTTCTGCAGCAGCCTGTTAATGACTCCTTCCATTTAGATCAAGTGTGTTGGAGCTGGAAAGCATCTAAAAGGTACGAGGCAGGGATCTCTGAGGACCAAGGTTTGGGACCACAGCTCTGAACCGTAGATGATGCCTCATTTCATTATTTATTTTGAAAAAAAAAAACATTTCAGGCATGTGGACTGAACACAGCCATGAAGCATAACATCATTTGTTATTTCAGTGTGCTTTCAATAATGACAATTTTCTGTCAACCACAAAAAATATATCTTATGAGGAAGAATCAGATTTCTATAAATAATTCAAGAAAAACATTACATGAAATTGAAAATGTCAGCGAATGTGAAGCCCTTTGAAAACATTTATGTCATAGAGGGTAGAAGTTTCCCTGCAGAGACACTCAGGGGGAGAACGCCCAGTTACTCGAGCTTTTGTTTCGTGTGTCTTTGACCTATCTGTAGGACCTCAGTAGGACCCCAGAAACACGAAAAGAACTTCAAATTTTAAAGGTGCAATTTGTAAGAATTTGTCTGTGAAATAATTGCAAAACTGTCTAATGTCTCAGTCATGTTGGAAGGAGGGTTTAGTGGAACAGATTTCCTTCTCAGCTGGCAGGAGGTAGTCAGTTTTTCTCCTTAAAAAAAAAGGAGGAAAAAAACAAAAGCAGGACGTTGTTAGCGTTTACAACTTGTGAGTTGTCTGAATCTGCTGCGAGCCAACGCAGCAACGCAGGCATTTTTTATTCGACACCAGCAAGCAAAATGCTCCATAATTATTTAAAGAACCAAAGCCAGTAAACAGAAGCAACCCATAAGGTTTATTTCGTACCCCTAAGAAGCCACAGCATCTTTTTGTTGTCAGGTGAAGCCGGCTATGTCCGCTTCTCGATGGATCCAATGTTAGATAATTTGCCTCAGCTCTAGTTTTATCTGCTTATCCACTTACTGTTTATGATTCATCTTTGGTCGTCATCTAGAATATTCTGGTGCTGGTCCATAACGGGTAACGAACAGTGAGAAAGTGATTTTTGGGGCAGCGGTAGCTCCGGAGGTAGAGTGGGTTGCCCAGTGATTGGAGGATTGGCTCCAGCTTCTGAATGTGTGAGACCATGAATGATGGAAAGTGGTTTGAATGCCTAGAAAAGCTCTACATAAATTTATTCCATTATTATTTGTAATAATTTTTGCTTTAGACCACAAGATGTAATTCTTATAAAGTGCACCTTTGAACACTTATTATTGCAAAACATATTTAACGTTCAAAGACACCAGGCTGGGATTCGAACCCGGAACCTTCTTGCTGCAAGGCAACAGCTCCAGCCACTGCGCCTGCTGCAGCACTGTGTTTGATTTGACTCTGACCATGGCGTTGTTGCCATTAGCCTGTGCAGGATATAAATGCTACAGCAAGTATGTGCTTGAGCAGCTCACCATGATCTTCTCTTCCTGGGTTGGTAGCTGGGGAACAGGTGTATTATTGCCCTGTCCTCTCCCTTCTCTGTGCTCATGCTGGTCTTCATGCTGTTTTCAGAACAGATGAGGTGAAAGTCTCTTTAGAAAGAGGCCAAGACATGTTTGAATTACTTCGGTGGCAGCAGGGGAGTCACACTGAATGGAGATGGTGGAGCTGGCGGTAGGAAAATCTAATTATGTAGCGCTGCCCTCTTCCTGCCGGGGCATTGCTCCGTACTGTCCCCCACGTCTCTCTCTGGTGTTTTCATTTCCCAACAGTTCAACCGAGGAGACTGCAGAGTGGAACAGGAAGAAAATGCAGAAAAAAAGTTTTCCGTATGAAATTATTTTAATTAAAAGTAAAGCATGATAAACAGGAGGGGGGATTGCTTCACTGAGACTTTTGGTTTATTTGAAGAGCGAATTCATTAATTATTAATAAAAATCAAAGAAATTAAACAATACTTTTTTTTAAAGGTGCTTGGATCTGTTTCTATTGCTGTTGGATCAAACGAGCATGGGGTTTGTGGCAGTAGCTAATAAATTCACCTTCTTTAATGCTGGATTTTTGCTTTAATGGTCACAGCTTTTCTGTTTAGTTGAGCCATCATTTTGTACAGAGAAAAGTGCTGTGCACTTCCTGTTCAGCACCAAAGATGGAACGGCAAACCTGATGACTTCAGCTTTGAAGGGCTTCAAAGAGACAATGTCTTGTCATTCATAGTTTTTACTGTTAATCTCTGGAAATATTCATCAGAATGTTGTTGAAGATTAATGAAAAGATGCCCTGCTGCTGCTGTAAAGTTTTGGCGGCTTTGTAACATATAACCTTAAAAATCAGGTGTAAAATACATGGGAGCGGGTCTAAGTCTCTGGGTGACGTCATGTTTCCTTCTACAGGAGCCTGTGAGGACAAAATGCATTTACTGATGGTAAAAAAAAACTGTTACAAAACTTTCTCCATTCATAAACGTTTTATACATTTACCTCTTCACTTGTTTCCAGTGATGAAAGGTGGCTGAAGGTTGCGCTTCCAGGGATTTTTGACCCTAATGGGCATCCATTGGTAAAGTCTTACTTGAACACAAAAATACCACTTGCTTGCAATGTTTTAAGTACGTATGTATTATCCCCTATATTGCCATGGAAAACACACACCATCACTTTAAGGTGGAAATTAACTCATTCACTGCCATTGACGACTAAAGTCGTCATTTTAGATCCAACCGTTCACTGCCAATGACGACTAAAGTCGTCATTTGCATTTTTTTACTGTTTGAGCATCAGAACGAGCCCCCGCGCTGAGAGAACAAACATCTCAGCCCTGAAGCCGATCTTCATCCGCATACGTCACAGATCACATGATCAGGAAGCAACACATCCATGTGTTAGGAGATCGTTTTGGGCCGTTTCTGTAAAAAAAGTGAGGCGCGAACCGCAAAAGCGTCTGCCGATCACAATTCGACAACGGATTATGAAAGAACGGATAACGCTCGAAACACGCGGCTTCTTCCTGATGTAAGAGGCAAGTCTCCTCTTTGTTTTGGTTGTTTTGGCATCGACATCATGCTAGCGCACAACGTTCTGTGACTCTTAAAAGAACCGTTAAAACGGTGAGAAACACTGGCAGCGAAGGCCGTTAGTGATCAGGAAACGGCTGGCAGTGAATGAGTTAATAAAAGTAAGCAAGCCCTGAATTGATGGTTGCTCCAGAGCTGCACTTAAAGCAAATATTTCTTATTTAGCTGAAGATCATAATAAACTAATTAAAATGAGGTATATTTTGTAAAGACTTGTTTTATGAAAGAATAAAAAACAGTGACATGTACAGGAAATGTTATTTTATTACTTTATTAATTCATCTAAGTCTCACATATCCGGTATTCCTGGTGGCCGTCGTGTGTGAAGGGCTCATGGAGTTGTCAGGTCCACAGGCCACTCCCACATGATGTGCACCTGGAATACCGGAAATAAGCTGCGTCACCAGTCCAGCTGATGAAAGCCCTTGAAGAAAGCTTCAGGTAAAAAGAAGTTTTACAACACTTTCACTACTACCAAGTTTCTATTATTAGAAACTTTTTCATTAATTCACCTACAGAGGCACAATAACCTTCATCTCCAGATATTCTTTTCAGTCAATGGGGGGGGGGGGGGGGGGGGGGGGGTCAGTTTTCCCCTTTAAAAAAGCCAAAGAGGGACATTTTTCTTTGTTTACATTCTGTGAGTCTGTGAGGTCGCCAAGTCTGTACCAAGCTAATGCTACAGCTCCAGCTAGCAAAAGCTCCAGAGTTGTTTAAAGACCCAAAGCCAGTTAACCTGAGTGACCCAGAAATTATTTCTGATACCGATAAGAAACTACAGCATCCTTTGTTTTACTCTAAAATTGGGTCAAGAGGCTAACGTTGAAATAACAATGCTAACGAGGAATTAGCAACACATTGTTGGTTCTAAAAATATTTAAAGCGAATTTCTCAATTAGCAATAATACATTGAAATGCACTTCAGGGTTTCCTCCAGAAAATGAGTTAGGCCTGGCGGATTTGGCCGTCAAAGGGGGGGGGGGGGGGGGGGGGGGCAGCAGAGCCTGGCAGGCCACCAGGTTTGTACAGTGCTGGAGGAAACCCTGTATTTGTCTACTATTTTACTATCTTTGCTCTTCAGGCGCTGATTTGTAGATGACATGCCAGCCATAAAACTCACGCAACGGGAGTGAAAATGTCACTCGTTTGGTGTGAAAATGGACTGCTATAACCAAATTTGACCACAAGATGTCATTCTTTCTTCATTTTTACATCATACACCTTTAACCTCCAGCAATCCTAACGTGTTGTTGTTAATTTTTCAGGCAGTGTTAAATAGCAGCAAAATGTTCCAGTGATTAGACATGAGTGTGAATGAGAGCTGCATGGTAGAAGCAGAAGCATATTACATTTCTTAATTCTGTGACATCTGCAGATTTTTCAAGCCCACATTTTGTGTTTTTGATGTTTGGTTTGGCCCGTATTTTACCGGAATGTGGGTGTTGACTAGTTGGAGACATTTTCAAAGTTTCTTCTTGGATTCACCCTGAATTTCAGATTCCTGCACCATCTCTGTGACTATTTGTTCTGCAAAGTTTTGGAACATTTTACAGATTAAAAGTGCATGACAGCAAGACCTTGCAAGGTGGGAGAAAGTTAGGTGTGGGAGTGGGTGTGAAAGTTTTCAGATATTTTTGAAACTCCCACACTAATGTCCTTTATAATTTGTCCCTCACAGCCCAGTGAGATACTGAAGCTACACAGATAAACACAGTTGGACTGACAGCAATAGCCTGAGAGTCCTGTAACAGACTGTATCCTTTGTCTGCAGACTGCTATGGACCAGCTGCACATGCACTTCACGCAGGCTATCCACAACACAGTGTTCCAGGTTGTACTGGGATACGTTGAGCTGTGTGCTGGGAACGCCGACACCAAGTTCCAGAAGATGCAGTATAAAGACCTCTGCACGGTAAGGAAGTGACAGGAGTGGACGGTATGTTTGTGTGAACCATCAGTTCCTGTAAGACTGGCTGTGAACACGGGGCATCTCTCAGTCAGAGATGTGAGAAAGCCCTACGTCGTACTGTTATAAAATAATAAGTTATTATTAAATTTAAATGGGCTTAAACCAAGCATCTGTGTTTACTCACCCCCACCCCCCGACATTCGTTCTGTCTCGTTTTATTGCGTCTCATTTCGACTTGGGGGAATTCTTCTCCATTCCCTCACAGGGTGAAATGAAGGAGAGGAGAGCTTGAAGAGAGTGATTGGGGGCATTGTAGCTCTTCACCAGATAATTAATCTTGTTCACTAAACTGAACAAATTTAATGCAACAGACTGGCCCACCCTTCTCAGCTCCCCCTCTTGACTTTTTCTTTCAAATAAATCCCATTTACATTCACAATAAAGCTGTAACTTGGCCAACACCTCATGAACTTGTGGTGAGTGTGTGTTCCACCCTCAGAAACCGTGTCATAACCCAACCTACAGGATGGAGGGGTGTATAGAGAGGTGAACACACTCCTCTATGACCCTTTTAGATCTATGTTTGGCATCGCTGTGTGACAGCACAGCATTTGCTGGAGGCGTTACCAACTGTGCTCGTGTCAGTAATGGCCTGTCCTTTACCTCTTACCTTTGTATTACCTCTCCTCTCCTCGCCTTCACCCTTCATCTGTTCCCTTGTTTATGCATGCTTTCCTGTCCCACTATACAGCATGGCCTTAGAGGAACCTTTTCTTTTTATTGCATTTATCAAGAGCTTTGGGGTCAAGGTTATTTTTTGATCATGTCTTGTTTTTTTTTTCAGTGTTTCACACACTCGTGTTACATTTTATATATAAGCCATACTCATTCCCCATCAGCCCTTGGAAACTGTGTCGGATCTAAATAATTGTACTATGCGTGAAACTGTGCACTAGTTACAAATGGATTCCAGGATCATCCATCAGCAGTTTGCTGCCCGGATGCTTTCACTCGTCTCACGAATAAATATGTTTTCTTGCAACTTCTGCTACTGTCTCAGTTGTGTGACAATGATGAGTAGTGCACGCACACACTCAATTATGAAAAACCACAAAAGACGACTCTTCAGCTGCTTTGATGTTTGAATCATCAACTTTCCTTGAGACGCTTTATTTGGTGCTTAATATGGGGGGGGGGGGGGGGGGGGGGGTGCTGTGAACTAGTGATTGTAAACTCGCTTCTTTTTTCTGAATGAGCCCCTCACCCAAAAGCATCAGGTTTTTAAAGTAATTTGAGTCACTGGTTGCCCAGATTGCAATAAAAACCTACATTTTCACTCATATTTAATTTGCTCCTCTCTCTCTATGTAAATCCTACCACTGACATGAGTGATTGAAAAAGAAAATATCCATTTTATACACTGAAATAACATTTTTAGACTGAATATTGTTACGTAGCGTCACTCATACTATCAGAGTTTAGCTCAGGTGAAAGAGCGACTCTTACCCGGTAACACTGCCTAAGTTTATGCAGCTGAGAGCCGGGAGGGAGGGGTGAGTGAGTCGTATGTAGTACCTCAAGCTGCCACTGGGTGACTCGTATGAGCTGAAACCTGGGTGGGAGAGGTCAGTGTTTCGTACTGCAAGCTGTGTGAGCTGAGAGCAGGGCTAGGGGTTAGTGAGTTGTATGTAATGTCGTGAGCTTCGTCTGTGTGACTCGTTTGAGCTGAGACTGGGGAGGGAAGGGGTGAGTGAGTTAATCCAAGGATCAGAAAATGCTGGGAGTTCTAGAGGTAAATAATCTGGTTGGGATTGGGTCTATAATAAAAGTTGAAGGTTTAGATGAAGCTAATATTTTAGTTAACTCTGAAAGCTCAACTGAATCAAAACGGTTTAACCACAGATGAGGTTCTACAGTTACCTCTGATGCTGCCTCACTTACTGAGGAAGAAGAAATCACATTAGAGAGGATGCTGATGATTTTGTTTCTAATAGAATTAATTTTATTCCTGAAAAATCCCATAAAGTCGTTGCTGCTGAAGGCTTAGTAAATATATGGCCCAGAGCTATGATTTTATGGAAGTTTGGCAACTTTACTAAAAAGAATTTTAGGATTATTCTTTTTTTTACCTCAACAGGTAACAAAAAGTATGCGGTTCTAGCTTGTTGAAGCTTATTTTTTTATAAAGCACTTGACTATGTCATGTGTCATAGCTAAAGATATGTCATGCTCTCTCCAAATCTTTAGAGTTCCGTTTTAAAAATAAGCCATTCAGAATTGAACCAATGAGCCAACTTCCTGTGCTTGATTAGCTTCTTTTTTTAAAGGGGCAATATTATCTAATGCCACATGTAAAGAAGAAGCAACGCAGTGAACTAGACCATCAATTTGTGAAGGGCTTGAAATGAAAATGTTGCCCTCTGCGACGTTCCTCTGAAATACCAAAGACATTAAAATGGAACAGTTGCTTTAAACTTTGTTGTAGCATTTTCAGATATAGATCGATTGTTTTGATATTTACTTTCATGTCTGGAAAACTCAGTTAAAATTATTGTAAAGTTATCAAAATGTGGTCCATCAGGACAGGCTTGTATACAATTAGGCTACCAGACGAAATGATGGAGTCTGACATTGTTTTGGCAAACTTACACAGCAATACTCATTTTAGTGACCTCCAATTGGCATAACTGGGTGTCATTACCAACAGAGTGAATCTTACTGTATTTATGCTTATCCTTAGCCTGCAGTTTCAGGTAGGATTAGATATTGCCCGCTCTGGCCCCAGGTAAACATTTGACTATAGCTGCTGGAGTCTGTCATGCCACGTTTTCGGCTATGTGTCGGCCTAATGGGACAGTGCCAGAAGGCCAGACAGGCCAGTCCACCCCTGGGAGTGCCCACATCGTTCAAAATATGTGCTTGGAGACCTCACCAGTGAAGTGGACCTAGCAACACATTAAACTAACCTTTTCTGAAGCTGCACTCTAGCAAGTTTACTGATATTGTGGAAACGTGGCAAAAATGTAAACTTGTAGTAAAGAACACATTTAAAGTGTTTTCCCAAGGTAAATACTTAATAAAATAATATGTTCCACCCACATAACTCCCCCTGAACCTACTGCGCATAGAAAATGTAAGGGAAATGGGTGCATTAAGAAAGGTCAGTTCTGATGGTGAAAAGGTCGTATTAATTTTACAACATCTGATTATTAGATAGTCTGATGTTTTCCTGCCTTTCACTGGTGTGTCTGACTTTTTCGCTGGTGGAAATAGGAGGAGTTTGGGACTAGTCTGTTGTTGGAGGCAACTGGCTGTGCTGATGATGAGACGACTCGTAAACAGCAGCACTTCTCTCTCAGTCTCTGTTTTATTGACAGAAAATAACCTTAGGGCTGTGCTTAGTCTGATGTTTACAGCATTTTATACCACTGGTTGGGAAATTACTGTTTTGTGTTATTGCCACACTGTCACATTGACAAAGTGCACATTAAGACCCCAGCAATTTATTTTTTGTTGTTTTTTTTTAATTTTCCCAAGAGGGTCATTTCATTTGATCATAATCGTTTGTTCCCAGTTTATTTGACCTTTTCCTCTGCGGTTGTAGGTGATTTGTGTTTATATCTAATGCATTTCTTTTGTAAAACCAATGGAGTAAATTCTGCAGAGGTGTTGATGGGTGATTTAGCTGAGGTGTGTTCAGGAAATTTTAGTCAGATCAAGATCTCTTACAGGAAACGATTACAACAAATTACACAACCATGAGTTTGGAAATCAGAGATTTGGTCTGTAACCCTATAAGACAGGCGGGAGCGCCGGTGCTCCCATTAGCATATCTGTGCTAAAATGCTTGTAGAACTGAAACTATGTAAGATAGAATAATTTTTTTATTTGCATATTAAACCGGAGGAGTTACACTTGTAGCTCACACACTGAACTTGTCCCAGAGCGCTGCGTATTTCTGCTAATGAGTTTGCAAAAAACAAACAAAATGCGCAAATAAGAAAAGCGTTTTCATTCAGACACAGACGTCGTATCGTTCTGATCTGCAGCTCACGGGAATTCACACACTAGAATAAACGTCATCACGTTGTCAGCGTGAACTGTCACATGATTGGCCGTGTGCGAGTTGAGCAGCGCCTCACCCGGAAAAGTGAAGAGAGCAGACGGATGCAGCAGGGGGAGTGGCTGAAGGCCGGCGTTATGTCGGACAGATTTCCCTACATGTGTAGCTCGCGGGTGACGATGGCTGAAGATATCGCGTTAGCGTTCACACTTGTTTAATTTTAATTTTAATTCTGGTGCCTGTTAGCAACTGAAACACATCCTCACATGCTTGTGGATATCATATATTGGATATGAAGACATGACTGTAATAATAAGTAAAGGTTATCAGCTGTAGGTTTAGTGTGCTCATAGGAAACGTGACAAAAGAACACAAACCACATTTCTCTTTATGGCCTATAGAGTTGTCATCATCAACGTAACGTGATTTACAGAATACATGTGACCAACTAACATTTCATGTTCTACCACCGGATGTTTGGATCAAAATATGAACCAATCAGATCTTAGATCAGGTGAGAGCCAGGCGTTTCCCATCCTGCCCTAGGTTTTGCAGCCGGCGGAGAGCAACTGCAGCTCCTTGCTCCAAAATCTGCACCCGCCTTGATCTCACGAGGTCATCGCTGCCTACGTAGGCACGACGTCAGAGCAAGTCGGCTTCAAGTCGGCTACAAGTCGGACACAAATCTTACCGTCAAGCACTGGGTGCTGATCACCGGTGATCTAATCTGCGCAGATTAGGTCACCGGTGATCTAATCTGCGCAGATTAGGTCACCGGTGATCTAATCTGCGCAGAACTGGCTCTCCTTGAACACGGCCTTTTTGCTCACCCAAATCACCTGCTTTGACAAATTTTTCCTGCGAATTGTAGTTCTTTGTAGTCCCAGTCTTTTGGCTTTTTCTTGTGATATCGATATTGGCCCAACAACTTCATATCGGT